TTTACCCTTATTCCATAGAGGCCACAGTATTCTACACTTATTCCAGAGAGGCCAGTCTACTACCCTTTTTCCATAGAGGCCACAGTATTTTACCCTTATTCCATAGAGGCCACAGTATTTTACCCTTATGCCATAGAGGCCACAGTATTCTAAACTTATTCCATAGAGGCCACAGTATTCTACACTTATTCCATAGAGGCCACAGTATTCTACACTTATTCCATAGAGGCCACAGTATTCTACACTTATTCCATTGAGGCCACAGTATTCTACACTTATTCCATAGAGGCCACAGTTTACTACACTAATTCCATAGAGAACAAAGTATACTTCACTTATTTCATAGAGAACACAGTATACTACACTTATTCCATAGAGAACACAGTATACTACACTTATTCCATAGAGGCCACAGTAGTTTACCCTTATTCCATAGAGGCCACTGTATTCTAAACTTATTCCATAGAGGCCACAGTATTCTACACTTATTACATAGAGGCCACAGTATTCTACACTTATTACATAGAGGCCACAGTATTCTAAACCTATTCCATAGAGAACACAGTATACTTCACTTATTCCATAGAGAACACAGTATACTACACTTATATCATAGAGATCACTGTATACTTCACTTATTCCATAGAGGTCACAGTATTTTATACTTATATCATAGAGGCCACATTATTTTCCCCTTATTCCATAGAGGCCATAGTATTCTACACTTTTTCCATAGTTGCCACAGTATTTTACACTTATTCCATAGATGCCATTGTATTTTACACTTATTAAGAATTAAGCCACAGTATATTACACTTATTCCATAGATACCATAGTATTTTACACTTATTCCTAAGAGGCCACAGTATGCTACACTTATGTCAGAGGTTATGATATGCAGGTACTACACTTATTGGACATAGGTCTCAAAATAAACTACATATGTTCTTAACAGAGTTATAAAATACTACCTTGATTGATCTCTTGATTGAAATTAAAAGGATTGAAGTTTCAATGCCCAAGGAATAATATTTTATGAACAATTTGTAGATTGTCTTATCATGGGTACAGTTACAGTTACATTAAGATTATGAGGTGTATTAAAGTGTTCAGTATTTAAAACGCTGTGTTGATTCTTACAGGACCATCTGGAGGCAGCGTTCAAACCAAACAATCAGAAGGAAGTAGTGATGGAGCTCCAATAGTTATTGATGATGACAATAATGATGACAGCAATACTGGCACGGGACGACTTTCAGAACTCTGGAAATTCTTGAGGGAGGGTTCATCTGCAGACTTTAAAAGAATGATAGAAACACCTGAATATAGTTTACCTAAGAAAAAACATGTACAGATCTATGAAGATGTAATAGTTGTCGATGATCAAGAAAAGGATAAACATGTTCACACTGACGAAGAAGCAGAAATCCTGGAATTTTCAGATGATAGTAGTACATCATCTCAAGATACAGACACATCAATGGAGGTTCATACTCCAACGGTTGGTGAGCAGGCTACCAAGGCAACTGTAGACCATATCCCTGTTATGACAGCAGAACTAGCAGCAGGGCCCAGCGAGGTCAGATACAGAGAAAAAAGGTTTGAGGCACATGGCCCCGTGCCTTGCAGCTTTACAACAAGCTCAACAATTTTTGATAAGTTATTTAACAGAAGAACACTTAGATCAAGCCCCTTAGATTTTGTACAAAGCAGAAGAAGTACTAGCAGTGACAAGGTAGGTAACCTGGATACGGACTCTGATATAATTATCTTGCCTACTTTGCAAGATGATATAGAAATAACAAGGGTTGAACCGCCTCCTATCCCACTTCCAAGCAGTGCATCAACAGTTGTGTCTGAATCTAGCTTTGGCAATTTTTCACAAATTATTTCTGACAATGACAACTTCTTGAAAACTGTTGCTGGTTCTGATGACGTGTCAACAACAATTACTGGCCCTGGAAATATAACACAAGTCATGGCTGAACCTCATGATGTACCAAAAGATGTCACTGGTATCAATGATGTGTCGAAAACTGTTGCTGTGCCAGGAAATGAATCACAAATTGTGCTTGGCACTCATGATGAACCAAAATATGTGCCTCCAGGCATCCATGGTATGTTCAAACACGTCCCTGAACCTGATGATGTAGCAAAAACTGATGCTGGACTCGGCAATGAATCAGAAACTGTCACTGGCCCTGCTGATGTATCATCAAGTGTCACTGGCCTTGCAGATGTATCACCAAGTGTCACTGGCCCTGCAGATGTATCACCAAATGTCACTTGCATTGACGATGCATCAAAAACTGCTGCTGTTCCTGATAATTTAACAGAAAGTGTTGGTGGCTCTGACGATATACCAAAATATGTTGCTCATGGCTCTGTTATCAGTCCTGCAAATGTAACGCAAACTGTTGCTGGTGCTGATGTACCAAACCCTGTCTTGGGCCTCGGAACTGGGTCATCATCAGTACAGATGGAGGGTCAAGTCAGTGCTACAACAACAACAGGTGACATAGCTAATCAACAAAACCCAAAGGAGGATGGTTAGTATTAGGTCAAGGAATTGGAATAGAGCTCATAGGTCAAAGGGCAACTCAGCATTACTGAGACCCATAGCCAATGGGTAATATCATGATGATGGGTAGGGAGTGTGGTTTATTGGGATGATCAGGAATGGAGGTCATTATGGCAGTTGAGGATTGGGAGTAGAGGGACGGAGGTCATGATATGATATCGTAACTTCCCAGAACCAAAAATCAGAAGGTCAATATAGGCCAGTTCAGGCCTAGGGCGAGGGGTAAGGGCATTAAAAAACACATAACAGGAAGGTCAGTATGGCAGTTTTGGATTAAGAAGGGGGTCAAAGGTCAGGGTATTGTTACCACACAGAACCCAAATCAGATATTCAATGATGCAGATGAGGATTAGGATTGGGAGGGGTCAGAAGTCACAAAAACCCAAAATCAGAAAGTCAGAGTGGCAGTTTGGGCTTCAAGAGGAGTTAGAAGTCAAAGGTGTTGCTGCTATAGCAGAAACACAGACTAGAATGTCATGATGACTTTGGAAGAACAGGAGTTTGGGTCATAGGTCACAGTATAGCCCTATAGAATTCCAGCAGGTCACTATTATTCAAATGTTTTTAGTGGGACCCACAAAGTAGGAGTTAAAAGTCATAATAGAGAAATAAAGACATAGTGTAGTAGGACGAGGAATAGTGATAAAGGTAGTGCCGTCACCGAGGCTCGAACCCGCGACCCTTGGCTCTCCAGCCCGGTGCTCTACCGCTAAGCTAAAGGGAAATTCCCTACAGCTGACGCTCGTAAGGCAACCTAATCGATGTAATCTTTTACTCATAGTATGTGATGATTGTTAATTAATGATGATTAACAGGTCATCATAGCAGAGCCCCAAACTAGATGGTCAAAATGGTATTTGTGGGTTACATGTGGGGGAGGTGATCACATACTGCAGATGTACATTTTTTAGAAAACACAAGTTTTAAGGTATTACATGTATCAAATTTTAACAGATTAGTGCATTGATAAATCAGCTTACTCACAATATATAAAATAGAAAACTAAAGAAACTAAGCTCTGTCATAATTAAGATTTAATGCACGAAAAGTGCCAAAATTTAAAAAAAAAACACTATTATAAGATATGTACATTTTCAGTAATATGCATAAGCAATGTGTTTTATGAAAACAAAATATATTTTTAAACTGACTTTTTTGTGTAGATATGGAATTTGTTGATAAGGACTTGGATCCCGAGGGAACAGAAAAAATGGAAGGTAAATATCCTTTTCTTCTTTTTACAGAAAACATTAATACATTACACGTTATTTACAGTTTAGTAGTCTTCATTTCATAGTTACTGACATTTGTAACATCATCCTTCTTTAAAGATGGCTTGCATATGGTGGTGAGCACAATCTCAATTTCAACAAGATTTCCATTGTTGGTTGTGCAATGTCGAAAACATTGGTGTCTGGCAAATCCCTATGTATCCCGAGTTGTAGCTGGTTTGAAAAGAATACAACTAAATGATAATTGGTATAAGATCTTCTTCTTCTTACTTAAAGCCTCAGAACTAGCTGGGCTGAAAAGGATCTAATTAAATGATTATTGGTATAAGATCATTTTCTTCTTCTTACTTAAAGCCTCGGAATTCATGGAATTGATGAACACACCAAAACGGTGGGAGTTGGTCAAATCATATATAGACCCTGTGGAGATATACGACTCTTTGAGCAGCAAGAAAATCATCACTGAAAGAGAATACTTCTCAACCTTTAAAAGATTCAGAAGTAAACAGGATCGCATTGAGAACCTCAGATGTACGGTCATTGACCAGAAGGAAGACGCTAGATTCATAGAGGAAGTGATCAGTTTTATACAAACTTCAAGGAGAACACTCGTTATGAAGAAAATCTTGCATGCTGATGGTAAGAATAATTCTTGCATGCTGATGGTAAGAAAAAATCTTGCATGTTGATGGTAAGAAAAAATCTTGCATGCTGAGGGTAAGAAAAAAATCTTGCAAGCTGAGGTTAAGAAAAAATCTTGCATGTCAATGGTAAGAAAAAAATTGCATGCTGAGGTTAAGAAGAAATCTTGCATCTCAATGGTAAGAAAAAATCTTACATGCTCAGGGAAGAAACATTTTTGCATGCCGAGAGTAAGAAAAAATCTTGAATGATGAGGGGTAAGAAAAAATCTGGCATGCTGAGATAAGAAAATATTTTGCATGCTGGGGGTAAGAGAGAACTTGCATGGTAATGGCGAGTAAAGACTTATGTAATCTGACAGAGAAATCTGACATGTTAACAGTAAGAAAAATCTTATATGCTGTTAAGAAAGAAATTCTTATATACTGACGGTAAGGACAATTTTGTGTGCTGACAATAAGAAAACTATCTTAAACAGAAACAAAGTTATTATTTTAGTAACATACAGCCATTCAAGTGTTACAGCTGATAGCGTTTCTCTACTGTAGATGAAACTTTGAAAAAAATGCGCGAAGAACAGGACCCAAAGAATTTCTCAGCAAAATTAAGTGAACGAAAAGCAAAAGGTCAAAGGATATTATTTCCACTTTTCACGAGAACTGCAGCCAGAAAAGATCTCCCCGAGAAAACATCTTCCATGTTGGAACCTCTAGGAGCCAGAACATTAGAGGACTCAGCAAAAAGACCATATGGTAAGAAACATGTTTGTATTCTTCCAACTGAAATGTACTTGTTATGATTATTTATTATTTTCAGTGTTAATTTAGTGGTTGTCTAGGTGATAATCCTATTCTGGCTATAATGATATTAACAATCCTTGTACCACAGCCAAAAACTGTACCTATTCACTAGACACCGATTTTACAGCATAACTATAGTGTTGATAAACCATTTCTGAAAAGGAAATATCATACATGAACCTTGCAGGGCTTCTATGAAAAATAGTCGAGATAAAATAACCAACATGTACTCAACAACAGTGTTCTGTGTGTATCCAATTGGCAGAGCTAGACAAGGATTTGGACCCTGGTTTTCAAATTGTTAAACCAACGCTCTTACCAACTGAGCTACCATCCTCGATATCCAGGGGTTACGTTCACTTTCGCTCTCTTCACCCCTGGAATATGTCATAGCAAAATTGAAGGCTCAGTGTGCGCCACCTTGTTGATGAGACAAGGAGACTAGTTTGATCCTTTGATGTACATCAAAAGAATGTCGCGGTCACGTAATGATAAAAGTTGACAGACTTTGAAGTCGGGCGTCTCTCCTTTGTTATCTTCAAAGGAGGGGTATCAGCCTAGCGATTGGTCAACAGAATTGTATTGATAAATGTATATGCTAATTGTATTAATTGTTTATCTATGTACTGTAAAGTGTAAAGCTTTAGAGTGGCTTATGTTAGCTAGATAGGGCGCTATATTAAATGCTGTATATTATTATTATTATTATTCGCAAGATAGTGCTGTATTGAATGTCTTTAAACAGCATCGTATCATAAATGATGAAGTATATCCAGTCAAATAAAGGATTTTGGTTAAAGGCTGAGCTGTATGGCAAGACACTCCAGCAATCAAACTAGATGCACTCTACTACAGTAAATAAATACTGGCCATATTCACTGCCAAATCATCAATATCAACTATTGTAAATATTGCTGCATGTGATCTTGGCACGTCAATAGATTAATAATATGCTAACGAAATTGATTACGTCAAAAGCAGTCGGTAGATTGAAATTTGGTCAAAATGATCCCTGGAAAGCCCTTTGTCAAACATGGTTGCTTAATTTGGTCCATCACTTGTCTATTATTTTGTCAAAAATGACCATTAGGTATATTTCATGAAATATGGATGCTAAAATTTGTTAATTGTTGTCATGCAATTTAATTTCTGGGGTCAGAAATGGTTGGTCGATAGTCAAAATAAATGGATAGTTGTTAGATACACCCACATTTATTGTAGCAAAAATGGCTGGGAAGGATCAGAAGTGGCCACATAAGACTGATGGTTGCCTAGTACAGATGATGATCACACGACTAGATTTGACTGTGTAATATTTTTGTTAAACTAATGTTATTTCTTGTTTTCAAACATCACAGATGTTACAAAGTTCATTGAAGCTGTCCAAGAAGGAAATGATACAGACTTAGGAGCATTCAAAACATTATTCCAGAACAGGGATTTGGAGTTTGAACGCTTTCCAGTGAATCCATTGCTTATTGTATCGGCCTTTGGTTCATCCCAAGCTGTTGAATATGTACAGAAGTTGGGTTCAACCGCAGTTAACTGGAATGAACCGATGGAAATCAGATTAGGGCTGTGTGAAGGCATCTTGGACAAAATGAATGATAGAAAAGCTACACCTTTGTATGTTGCAACATATCTGAAGAAACAAGCAACTGTCGGATCTCTGATTAAATATTCTGACGAAAAGAACTTTGTTCACTGCATGAATAGCATACAACTCAGCAACTCAATGGAACAAGTCTACATGGCTGAGGTTGGAGAACGACTGAAAAGGGAATACTCACACCTGAAACCCGCTGTGATACCTGGTCATCAGAAGGAGGTGGATGGTACTTGGGGTCGAGTATTTGTTGTCTATTCTCCTGATGTGATGCAGGCAACAAATCATGTAAAGGAAGGGATAGGAATGGTGATGCTGAGAAATCCCTACAAGGTAGATCACGAAGCCAGGACTGTGTCATGTAAAAAGGATGACATTCTTTGTGAAATCTCGAAAGAAGACATGGTAAGGACAAAACAGGCTGTTGAATCACATGGACATGCACTCTGGTGTAACCATAGCAACCTTAATATAATCAGTGTTTGCTCTGTGCGTTCTAAACACAAGGGAGAAATATTAGAGAAGAGTCTATGTGTTGTGTTGTACTGCAGTACAAAAGGAGTTGTACCGCTTGGAGAAGAAGAGTTCCCTGCAAAACTTCAAATAGGAGCGGGCGATTCCGTTGACACTGATGTCCGTGAAGGCTATTTTGAATATGGTGGATACGATACAAGACCAAGCACATATCCCCATAAAACTCTCAAAATGGGATGCAACATAGGTGCGATGACATCACAGGTACAAAATGGTGGAGGAACACTTGGTCCGTTTGTGTGGTACAATGGTGCCATGAGTTTCCTGACATGCGCTCATGTACTGTTTGATGTTGCTAACCAAGGAAACGTTGACTTCACCGATAATGGGTTCAATCGCATTAATGTTGCACAGCCTGCTGTGGGTGCTTCCTTTCCAACTGGTACTGCATGTGGATATGTACAGAGGGCAATTTTTAACCCAAGTATGAATCCCAGCATTGATGTGGCAGTTGTGACCATATCTGATGCAACAAAGCTACCCATTAAAGGGAGATTTGCCATTGATCACAGTTACAAATACACAAAAGTGGGTAAGTACTTTGCTGTAAATCACATTCATACGTTATACAATAGTTGGGTAGAGAAGTGAGAAAAGAAACATAAGAATCACATTTGTTGCTGTTGTTTGTTTTTACATTCTTAAACATCCTATTAATATCTGAGGTCATTTGAAGACGTGCATCAATGTGTGTTGTGAATTCTTGCATGTACAGGAGACACGGTATGTTGGTTTACTTGCCTCTTTGTGATAGCGCAGATTTGATGATCTCGCTGAAATGTCATGCCGATGGCACCCAGCACAGCATTTCACCCAGTCACATTATACTGACAATGGGTGAACCAGTTGTTGTCATTAACCTAAATGCTGAACGTTTAGCAGGGAATAACAAAAACCATTTTCAAGGACTTCCGTATGTCCCGACCAAGGAACAGAACCTATTGCCTTCCTCACCTGGGTGAACATTCCACATTAAAGCCAAAAGTGAAGTGTTTCCAAGTGAGGCGCTAGGAAATAAAAGATAGGTAGAAGTAGAAACAAATACAAAGATCTCAAATATTGCAATGGGTTCAGTATATTTATTTTAGTCGCTTTTGTATCCGCAAGTTGAGGGCGCAAAAGCAAATCCCCAATTCTGCAGGGGGTTCCTTCATTAGTCGCCTCTTACGATACAATGCAGTGGGTAACAGCAGGTGTATTCTTCTTGCGATCCCCGACCTGTTGAACGTTCTCACAACAGCCAGGGTAATATAAGGACGGGTGCCTAGGGAGACAACCTGAAACAAAGTATATAGAGAAGAAAGACAAATAACGAAAATTTGCCCAAGCATTGCAGATCAATGTTGGTCTCTTCCATGTCCTCTCAGTAGGGGGTGGACAAAGCAAAAAAAAACAAGATTTTGCAAGGGGTCCCAAATTAGTCACCTTTTACGATACACATGCAGTGGGATACAGCAGGTCTTAAGTCTTGATTTCTCCAATGTCCTCTTCATCTCTAGATCTTGGTACTTGGATTTCCTTCCTCATCAAGACCTTTTATGGTTTACCATCGGAAATTCGGAATGATCCATGCAAGCAAGATCAGTGTATTATGGGCGGCCGTTTTAGAATAAAATACCAATACTACTTAAGTCATAACAAAATTAATGGTAATTAATTGCTTTTTATCTTAAAGCTGACAGTGCAAGTTAAAAAGCTTTCAATTGAGATTACAAAAAAATATGTTTTGAGATCTTTTCCATCTCTTCCCGACTGTAGTTTCTAAGGATGTGCCGACATTTTAGTTTGTCCTTGCTTGGTAACGAGTATGGGTATTAAAAGCGCATTACCTGTCAAGCTTTTTTGTACTTAAGTGCAAAAACGACCTATGTGTTGTTGTTTTTTTGGTTTTCATCTGCAACTTAACCTACCGGCAGATCATTATATTACAAAGGTGTGCTACAGTATTTTCATTTCAGATTTCAACACTTTTAAGGAGAGTTATGGCCCTTTAGGCGAACTTGTCCGTAAAACTCCATCTTAACTAAAAGGCAGATTTTATCGAAACTTCACTTGAATGATCAGTATATTATTTAGTTGTGCACCAGCATTTTAATTATAGATTTAAACACTTTTTATGGGAGTTACAGCCCTTTATGCGAAATCACTTGTCCGAAAACTTCATCTTTAGTAATGGGCAGATTTTATTGAAACTTCACTTGGATGATCAGTATATTATGCAGTTGTACATTGGCACTTTGATTCAAGATTTTAGCACTTTTTAGGGGAATTATGGTCCTTTATGTGAAATAACTTGTCCGGAAAACTCGAGGTCAAGGTCACTAAATGAGGTATAAACTACCAGCATCTGCGGGGGGGGGGGTTATTTGTTATCCTCCGGGTGACAGTTCTTGTTGGAATTAATTTGCTTTTTATTACTAAAGTGAAAAGGTTTTTCACTATTGTGTTTTTTCCCCATTAAGTCCAGTTTTTCACTGAAGTGAAAATCTTTTTGCACTTAAGTGCAACAACGTTTTCACTCGAGTAGTTTTGGTATTGTATCCTACAACGGCCGCCAATAGTTTGTGTTGATATAAATTGCGGAAGTTTTAACAGTTGGTGGATCCTTATTAAACAAGCATTTAAGTATGTCTCCAAACTAAATATTACTCACGGTAAGCTTTCGCTGACCTCAGTAGTCTGAAGCCCCCAACTGATCTAAGTAAGGACTGAAGAAGGCCGCCAGGTGTTCACAGAAAGCTTCCTTCGATTAGTTTTTAGTTACGAGACATAATTAAATATTTGTTTAATTTTGATTTAAGTTGTTTTATAATTGTAAAAACAATAAAATGTATGTTCTTAGTCGTTTAAAATGTTAATTGCTGTCTGTTAAATTAAATGAATGGCGTCAAAGTATTATCAGTTATAAAATGTTACGATAGCCATTTGACCATTTGATTGAATATGGGAAACAAAATTATGTGAACCAGTTGTTACACATTACCTCAGAATAGATATATTTTACGTTTTCATTATTTGTATTCCATTGTGTCAAATTGTGTGTTGAAAAACTTACATATTGCTATTTTCAGGATTTGCGGAGCGACCTGAGTACAACAATGGTTCGGTAGTACATGATATTCAACAGTTCGGTACAAGCAACATGGTGGTCAAATTTGGAAGTGAAACCCACCTGACGAAAGGTAGCTTAATAGTAGATGGTACACAGGTGCGTCCCCTGTCCACTGCCTTAGGACTACCCTCAAGTCAAAAGCTATTCTGTATGTCCAGCCAGTATGAAGTGGAAGTACTCAAATCATCAGTTAGTTTTTTCCAACCGGGTGACTCTGGATCAGCAGTGTTTATGCTGTATGGAACATCTTTACACTGTATTGGTATGGCGATTGGCCACATGTCTAACGGAAATGCTGTAGTGACACCTATTGGAGCACTGCTAAATGCTCTTGTTACTTGCAGCATAGCAAACTTTGAAGTTTCACGACCTCAGCGAACTGCAGCAACTATCAAGAAAAGATACAAGAAAATGAATGTGGATCGTGTTAGATTGAAATCCATGAAAAAGAAGTGAGAGGCGGGCAACTATGTAGATAAGGATTGCCATTATGAGAGCATATTGAATATGTATCCAAGAAAATGTCAAAAAATCCAAACCGATTGGTGTGATGTGAAGACTTGTGTGACATAAAGTAGACAACAATACTGTTTTTCTTTACATTACAGTGTATTTTTCTGTAATGTAAAAAGTGTCTGCTATGATATATATAACTCATTACTACTAATATAACTCATTCCTACTAATACTATTACATTATGTTATTGTTATCTTATATACTAGTGTTGGTCGCAAAAATAGCTCTCAAGAGCTAATTTTCCACGTTGATAGGTATGCGACTCTATCTTTACTGTATGGAGCACACCTGGCAACATATTATTAACAAGTTGTTACAATTGTACTAAAGGGCAGCTAGGATCTCATAGAATGTAAATGCATATAATTTCTTCCATGTCCCTTTCACGTGAATGCCGGTGGCAGATTTTACTGTTTTAAGAAGAATAGTTCTGTGGTTTAAAATTCAAAACTGTGAATCCTCGGATATTTTAAGATTTGATTACTAATGTTAGAAACACTTGTACAAGAACCAATATAGATTCTAATTCAAGCGGTCTGCGTGTTCCATCTGCAAAAATCATTAATTTTTAAAAAGCAAAATGGTTAATACTTGTTTAGTGTATCCGGATTTAGTTTGGTTTGATAACTAAGGATTAAGCATCTTATTCTATATGTGTACGTGTACTGAAGGCGGTTTTGCCTCCTTTTACCTGTACAACTATGCCGACGACAACACACTCAGCAAAGCACACTCCTCACTAGACATAGTCAAATCTTCACTACAGACAGACAGCGACGCACTAATACACTGGTTCGCAGACAACCACATGCAGGCAAATCCAGTCAAATTCCAGGCAATGGCTATAGGCAAAAAACACAACAAGAAAATATCACATTTAGTTTAGGACAGAACAATTTGATTAACTGCGAACCAGAAGTGAAATTGCTAGGTGTCACCATAGATTTCCAACTAAACTTTCATACACACATCTCAAACACTTGTAAAAAAGCATCTAGACAATTAAACGTACTAAAACGAATAGGCAGACACTTAAACAGACTAGGCAAACTCACTATATATCACTCATTCATCCTCTCAAACTTTAACTTCTGTCCCCTCACATGGCATTTCTGTGGCGAAACAAACACACAAAAAATGGAAAAAATACAGGAAAGGGCACTCAGATTCATATACGACGACCACACATGTACATACGAAGTTTTATTGGCCCGCTCAAAATTACCATCCCTCAAAATTAGACGCCTCAGAAATTTTGCAATCGAAGTATACAAAATTACAAACAAACAAACACCCACATACCTGCATGACCTCATCAGTACCACACAAAAGCCATACTCCTTTAGATACCACAACACAGCAGACATACCACAAGTAAGAACAACCAAATTTGGCAAACACTCTTTTCGATCTGAAGCACCAAAAATATGGAATTCTCTGCCAGACCACTTTCGAACAGCAACAACACTTTCGCAATTCAAAACACTTATAAACAGCTGGTACGGACCACAATGTAAATGTGTCGCATGCAAACAACCTACATAATATACCACACAACAACATAGCATCACTTATTACTCTCATACAAGTACACAAGGTTTTTTAAATATGCTTTCACACCCCATGTTTTTAGACTGATATCTGCTATTTTAAACAGCTACTTGTGTACATGTGCTTTTAACAAATGATAGTGCTAACCTAGTTGAAAATGAAATGTGATGTATGAGTAAAGTATTGACTTTGTAACTGTTTTATTATGCAATGTGTATGTCCTGTATGTTAGTCGGTTTTAATAGCTCCTTAGAGCTAATGTTGTATTGTTATACCATGTATCGACTCTAAATAAAACTTTTGACTTTTGACTTTGACTTTGCGATTCCATAAAATATTTAATTGCAACGAGTGAACCAATTGTTTCGATATCCTTAATGCTGAACGTTTAACAGTGAATAACACCTACCAATAAGGACTTTCATATGATATAACCCATTGTCATCCTTACCTAGGCAAAAAAGAAGTTTTTAGGAAGTATTTACGCATTTGTGTCCCAAAGTGGAGGGCGAATATTTGAACACTAAAGCAACATGTGAGGTATTGCCAGGACAGTCACAAGGAAACAAAAGCTTTTAGGAAGTAGAAGGAAATACAAAGATCCCAAATATTGCAATAGATGCAGAATGTTTATGATGTCACCAAGTAAAAGGCAGAAAGGCAAATCTCCAATTCTGCATGGGTTTCCCTCATTAGCAGCCTCTTACAACATGCATCAAGTAACAGCAGGTGTATTCTTTTCTCTGAATCACTGACCTTCAGTGTTCTATTGCATAGAGGAGGCCGTACAAAATATTCAACTTAATGCATATATCAATAGGCTAATAGATATATTACAAAAATATGTTACTGCTCTTGGTATATCTGGATCCCCTTAACATGTAAAATCAAGATGAAACGTAACAATTTTGATCACAACATTCATTATCCATGATAAATACGTAACAGAATACTGACCTGGACACAAAATTTTGTTTTATTTGTTTGGGGTTTAACGTCCTCTCAACAGCAAGGGGGATGGACATGAAATAGACTCAACAAAGAAATCTAACCATGCGTAACATATCGGTTAATACTGCAAATATATTAATTAATCGAGAGAGTGGTAAGCTTCGATAAATCTTTATGGCTTTACCAAACCTTGCCGGAAACCTGTGCCAGATTTCCGATATTTCGTACTTTTATTTTTACAATACCTCCGCTAGGCGTCCGACCCGGGACCTCTAGCTTACCAGTCTTACGCTCTACCGAATGAGCTAAAGAGAAATTGTCTCCAGCCGAGTCGGAAGCAAGCTGCCAGGGTGACATATACAAAGCCTCATCTTCATTTAAAAAGCTACAGCTTGAAGACACGTTGTCAGTATAATGTGACAGGGTGCCGAGTGCCTTGATATCGCAAGGAGGCAAATACACCAAAATACCGATCCCATCAAACATACATCACCCACATAGAGGCACGTCCTCTAATCTAATCAAACCTAGAAAAGAGTTTTTTTGTTTGTTTGGTGAAGTATAACAGTGCTATTGTTACTATAAAAACTATTTTGTTTAAAAAGTAATTATTTCATATTGTGATGATCGAAAATTGTTATATACTCTTTTCATGTGATCTATGATTAAAAGAGAAATAAGGATAGATTTTTTGAATTATGTATTTTTTAATCAATAAACAATATTTTGTTTATTTCACATGATAAACGGATACGGTCATGCTATGGTGACAAAAGTTTCTAGTCGCAGGTGACCTGCCTTATAACCCCTAGGTCAAATTGGTACTTCAGAATCTGAATCAGCATCATACATCATCTATTGGCCATTGATTGACAAAATGGCTTAATTCAACATAAATTATCACCCATAATTGTTTAAATATTTCCATGGCTGTACACCTGTATCCCTACCTGGCTTAGAAAACCGAAGATACAAGACTAGATGTGATTTCTTTAAGGGAGGATATATCTTCTCTTGGGACGAAAAGCACATTAATTCTGAAGATTTAATCAACAGATGTAGGCATAATAACTGGTTTATTTAACCGGCACCGAATCATATCGTTTACGCTGAGTACAATTGGAGTCGCCATGGCTTCTGACATAATTAATAAGTTAATTATAAGAAGACAATTCAGGTTTATCGCGATAATAAAAAAGAAAATGTACAGGTTGTTCCGAATCCAAAACATCGTTCATTAATGTGTTACATTCCCAAATAGTGGGTTCCCTCATTAGTCGCCTCCTACGATCCCCAATTCTGCATGAGGTTCCCAGATTAATCGCTTCTTATCATTACGATACATGAAGTGGGGACACGTACTTTTCTCGTTACCCAACCTCCAGGGCTTGTTCTCGAATTAGTCGCCTCTGACAGTACTGCAATGAAGGGGGTGTATTTTTTGTAAAATATTTTTCTTTTCAATAGAAGTATTCCACAATATGTATTATGATAATGAATTTTGACACATTTATTGTTACATATCAAAAATATCCTGAGTATGTTTTGATATTCGATCCTGAGTTGGACTTTTATAAACATATTCCATACAGTGTAGTTTCTATCAAAGGTTCTTTAAGGTCTGGTTTCTACATATTATATACCAGAACACCACTACAACATTACACTCACATAATTATATCATATATATACTACTCATGGTCTGATTCCACCATATCAGGACCGTGCGATAACACATACTTGTATTTATATAATACATGTAACATATTTAACGTACAAACCCTAACATCTACTGACATAACAATATAAAATATGATAACTATATCTGCCATTCGGAGGTCAAGAACATCACCGTTACCAACAAAAAAAGATACAGTGGAGGTAAGTTGTTACATTCTTGTTCTTGCCTCATTTTTTTTTTTTCCACGGCCTATATTTAAGAATGAAGTTAAGATATTGATGTTAAATTGATGTACAGTACAGATCGAGTTACAGATATCTTTATTTTTATACTTCATATGGGATAATATTTCTAAGTACATTTATCTATAAATATAATATATAACCTTAAATCCACCCCTCTAATTGTACTATTAATGTTTTTATTTTCTAAAACTGTAGAGGTATTGTCTGCGTCTTCTCCAGCGCCGCAGGCGCCCACCCAGCTGCCACCATTAACACAGGTATGAGTCTCTCCGGATCCTCTCGCGCGATCGTCTCCTGGCCGCTTTCGTCAGATAGCTGAAGAGGTGGTACCTGGCAAGGGCAGAATGGCTCCCGAAGTGGGACTTATGGAACTCAGTTACTGACAAGGCCAGGAACTGATACTCTGTCAACAGAGTATCTCTATTCCTTCGGGAACATTCCCGCCCCAACTGGAAGGAGGCAGTCTCCAACCAGAGGAGCTTGGTTCCCCTATCAAATGTCCTCCAATATGCCGGAGGCCATTTGAGGGGTCCCAAATCCAGAGACTCCTCCTCCACCAGGTCCCACCTCCTCAGAGCTGGAGGAAAGAATTGCATTCCTCCTCGACGGAGGAGGCATACCGCTCTCTTCCTCACCACCATCTGCTGGCTGGTCTCTTCTTCCTCTGCCACCATCTGCTGGCTGGTCTCTTCTTCCTCTGCCACAGATGGGGAGACACCTGGAACATCTGCCTCTTCTCCTCTGCCACTGTGGTTTCCCGCACAGGTGGGGAAACACACATGGCAGGACTGGCTGACAGCGTCCGTCTCGTCTCTTCTGTTACTGTGGTTTCCTGCACAGGTGGGGAAACACACAGGGCGGGCTGAAAAGGCGGGGTCTTGGGCGTCTCTTCTGCCACTGAGGTTTCCCACCTGTGTACAGGGCAGGGCTGATAGGCAGGGTCTTCGGCGTCTCTTCTGCCACTGTGGTTTCCCACACAGGTGGTAAAACACACAAGTCAGGGCTGATAGGCGGGGTCTGGGGCGTCTCTTCTGCCACTGAGGTTTTCCACACAGGGGGGAAACACACAGGGCAGGGCTGATAGGCGGGGTCTTGGGCGTCTCTTCTGCCACTGAGGTTTCCCACACAAGTGGGGAAACGCACAGAGCAGGGCTGATGGAGGAGACTCCCATTAGTATGGGAGGTCAAATAGTGGCTCCTCCCACTCCACCCTCTCAGGTGAAGTTAAAGGAGTCACCATCCCCATGCCATAACTGAACCCATATACCTCCTCATCCACCTTCGGCACAACCGGCATTTCCAATCTTGATGGACTTGGAACACGTTTTATTACACTCTTCATCTTCCACTGTGAAGCTGGGGTAGAAGGTACGGGTAGCACACGATGGACACGATTGATATGTATATCAATGTGTGCTGCCCGGCTTGCCGTATAGCTGCATTTGCTATAAGGACAAGTCTTCGCTATCCTATGTTTATCGCGAAGATGTCATAGTAAGGACATCGACCCTTTGTTGTAAGCACTCTTAAGTAAATAGCATCTCCGACATAATATTGTTTGGCATTAGCTCTATGGTCATAGTTACGCTTCTGCCGGTCACTGGCATGTATCATTTCCTCCCGAGCTTCATTATGCACACCCCATAGCTTTTGCTGAAGCATCGAAACATAGCTAGTATCTGTAGGCAGAGTTTCATCTCTAGATGGGGGTTTCCTATATAGTAGGTCAATAAGTAGCTGAATCTCTCGACCAAACATTAACACGCTTGGAATATAACCAGTGCTGCTGTGTACAGACGATATGTATGCTAGGGTTGCAAGTGGACATACCTATCCCTCTGATTATAAGTTACATATTTGCTTAGAATGTCTTTAACAGTGCGGTCAAACCGTTCTACAAGTCCATCGCTCTGTGAATGATAAGCAGTGGTTCTAGTTTTGTCAATACCTAGCATATCGCATAACGACTGAAACAGCAAGGACTCAAATTGACAACCTTGGTCTGTGCGCAACTGTCTAGGTATTCCAAATCTGCTGATGAAATTATTTACAAATAGTGTTGCGACAGTACTTGCCTCCTGATTTGGCATAGAGTAACATTCTGTCCATCTAGTAAAATAGTCTGTAACGACTAGAATATATGTACTTGTTGCCTAGTGTGGATTCTGGTAAAGGTCCCAGGATATACATAGCTTCTCTTTCCAGTGGGGTCCAACCAATATACTGCTTCATCAATCCTCGATGAGACGGATTTGTTTCTTTTCTTTGTTGAAATGCTGTACATTATGTACACCACATCTTGACACTTTCATGGCACCCAGTACAGTTAAACCAACCTTTGACCATAGCAAGAGTTCTTTGGATACCAAAATGTCTTGAACCAGGGTCATTGTGTAACATCCAGATTTTGGTAAGACAAGAACCTGGTTTCCCA